CTGAGCCGTCCGGCGAACCTCCTTAAAAAAAAAAAAAGACTCTTTTTTTTTTCCTGCCCTGGATGGGTGTGGGGATGGGGGGGGGGGGAAGCGGGGCCCACTACTAGCAGTAGTGGGAAAAGAGACTCTTTGCCGGCCAATTGGGGGGCCCCCTTTGGCTTCTTTAACCCTTCTTGTCTTGCTGCGTTGGGACATTTGGCAACCAAGGGGGAGAATCAAGACGCCCTCGCCGTGGGATGGCGCCTCCGGATGGGCCCGGGCCACCCCCCCCCGCCCCTCTGCTTCCGGTTAAAGCGCGCCCGGCCTCGCCTGACCCACCACAGCAGCGTCTTCTGCCCGTCCCCCTCTCCCCTTCCCCCCGGTTAGCTGCCCCTCCAGGGGGGATTCGGGAGCTCGCGGCGGGGTAGGCGAAGGGGCTCCCCTCCTCCTCCTCCGTGGACGTTTGCCAGCCCAACAGCCTCCTGCCTCTCCAGCTTTGGGGCAGCCCCTTCCTCTCTTTGCTTTCGGCCAGGGTGGGGCGGGGGCTTCGGTGGGAGCCGGGCCCTCCCCCCCCACAGCCCCTCTCGGCGTTCCGGGGCAGGGAGGCTGGGCGTTTCGTGGGCTGGGATGGATGCCCTCCGGTTGCCAAGTGCCGTTCGGAGAGAGGAGGGAGGGCGGTGCTGGGTTTTTAGAGGGGGTTTTTAACAGGAGCTAAGCGGTGCCGGGCCTTCTTTCCTATCCTTCCGTCTCTTCTCCAATTCCCTGTCCTGGTCAGAAGCAAACCCTGAAACACGACGCGTCCAATCTTGGCCGCTTTGAAAGACCTGTGGACTTCTAACTCCCAGAATTCCTCGGCCTGGGGGGTTCTGGGAGTTGGAAAAGTCCACAGGTCTTTCAAAGCGGCCTGCGTCGGACAGCCCTGCCCTAAAAAAAGGATGGCTACCCATGGCTTCTCCGCCAGAGATGTCCCTCCGCTGAATCATCTGAATCCCCACGGAGGCCAGCGTCTCTCTTCCGGCCCACCACCACCAACTTCTTCCGGTGAAAAAGACAATCCGGTGCCCGTCCGTCCGTCGGGCAGGAGGCTCCCCAAGGCCCAGACCTGGAGGCGGGAGGGAGCAAGTGGCAGCCGTCTCCCTTACTCCTTGAGTAAAGCTTGACCCTTTAGGAGGGACCCTCACCCCAAACCCTCCCACTTTGTAGAGCTGCTGAGTGGAAACTTTTAAGAACAGGTGGCCGTTCTTCGGCACCGGGAGAGCTCCTGCAAGGCGGAGGGGGTCTCCTCCAGTGGGCCACCCCGAGGAAGGAAGGAAGTCCGGCCCAAGGAGACCTTTTGGGGGACCCCTTTGACGAGCAGAGGCGCTCCCCCAACCCAAAGAGTTGGGGCAACCCCTAAATTCCGCCTCTGGCCAGGCTGGGGGCACCCGAGAGTGGTTTTTCCTTCCGCTTGTTCGTCTCGGCCTTTTCTTTGGGACAAACTGGGCCGCTGTCAGTAAGACTTGTGGGCTTCAACTCCCAGAATTCCTGAGTTAGGAATTCTGGGAGTTGGAAGTCCACAAGTCTTCAACGTTGCCCCTGATCCTCTGAACAGCCAGCCACTCCGACCGGATTCCGAGGACCTCTTTGTAGGAGACTGCTCTCCCCCCTCCCCTTAAATCAGGGGTGGGGAACTACGGCTCTTGGATGACTGGGGGGACTGCAACTCCCAGAATTCCTAGCTCAGGAGTTCTGGGAGTTGAAGTCCACCAGTCATCGAAAGGGCTGTAGTTCCCCCCCCCCCCCCCCCCCAACTCTTCACTGAAGCCAGCCTTCCTCCATCTACTCCCTCCTCAATAGCCATCCTCCCCTACCAGCATGGTGCCTGGCATGATGGGGCTTGTAGTAGTGCCATCAGGTTGAGCCTTGGTGCTGCTCTGAAGGGACCCACTTGCTCCTTCCTTCCTTCCTGATTCCTTTCTTCCCTTCCTTCTTTTTAACTCCTGATTCCTTTCTTCCTTCCTTCCTTCCTCCTGATTCCTTTCTTCCTTCCTCTCTCCGATTCCTTCCTTTCTTCCTCCTGATTCCTTTCTTCCTTCCTCTCCGATTCCTTCCTTCCTTCCTCTCTCCAATTCCTTCCTTCCTTCCTAACTCCTGATTCCTTTCTTCGTTCCTCTCCCTGATTCCTTCCTTCCTTCCTCTCTCCAATTCCTTCCTTCCTTCCTAACTCCTGATTCCTTTCTTCCTTCCTCTCTCCGATTCCTTCCTTCCTTCCTTTCTTCCTCCTGATTCCTTTCTTCGTTCCTCTCCCTGATTCCTTCCTTTTTTCCTCTCTCCAATTCCTTCCTTCCTAACTCCTGATTCCTTCCTTCCTTCCTCTCTCCGATTCCTTCCTTCCTTCCTTCCCTCCTTCCTCCCAGGACAGGGCAGCTTGGAGAGCAGGGCCAACATCAGGATCTCCTTCCCGGACTCTTCCAAGGAAACGTTGACATAGGAAGCCCGGCGGGCGCTGCAAACGGGGGGCAGAAAAGCTCCAATTTCTCCCCTCCCCCGGGGGGGGCTGGGTGTTTTTTCTTCTGGTGGTGGGGGGACACACAGGAATGGCTCCGGATTCTGGCTTTGAAGCTTTGCTTAAAAGGTGGCGAGGGGGGGGCGATATATCTCTCTCTCTCCGCCGCGGCTGGTTTGGGGTGAGAAGCCATGGGCAGGATGGTGCAAGGGCCCCTCCCTCCCCTCTCCTCCCCCCCCCCAGGAAGCCTCTGCAATGATGCGCTGCCCATTTTTACAATAATGCATTCTTCAATAAATGGATTTTGAGCTGGGTGTGGTGCCCGGGGTCTTTTTAGGATCTGGAGGCCGTCGGCTCGGCTGCAAACCCCCCCCACTGGATGTCAGCCTGGATTTGGGGGGGGGGGGCGTCAGCAGAAATGCAGGGACAGCACGATGGCAGTTAACTGGGATAAACCAGGATAAACCAACCTATGAGGCGAGGCCCTTTTGCAAAGCCTTTGATCTAAATCAGGGGTCTTCCAACTTGACCGCTTTAAGACTTGTGGGCTTCGACTCCCAGAATTCCTCAGCCAGCGTGCCTGGCTGAGGAATTCTGGGAGTCGAAGTCCACTCCTCTTAAAGTCTATATCAGGGATCTTCCAATTTGGCCCTTTTATGACTTGTGGACTTCAACTCCCAGAATTCCTCAGCCAGGCACAGCTCAGCCTCGCCGGATTCCATGAACTGCGGTGGGGGATTGGGAGAAGTGAACTGGTGGTTGCCTGGCACAAATGAGCGGGTGGTGGGTGGTGAGATCGTGGGCCAATCCAGCCCTGAGAAGCCCAGAATGACAAGAGTTGGACGGGACCTTGGAGGTCCTCTAGTCCAACCCCCTGCTCAAGCAGGAGACCCGATACCATTTTGTTGTGAGATACACAATGACGACAAAGCAGGGGTCTTCCAACTTGGCCGCTTTAAGACTTGTGGACTTCGACTCCCAGAATTCCTCAGCCAGGCACGCGTGCCTGGCTGAGGAATTCTGGGAGTCGAAGTCCACAAGTCTTAAAGCGGCCAAGTTGGAAGACCCCTGATCTCAATGTTAATCAAGCTTTACTCCATAGGAGATCTTTGCTTCAGGTCAGGCCTCTGTTGATAGCTTGTTGATTCTCCAGCTGGTAACAGCCCCATAGCTGAAGGGTCACTAAGCCCCTTGGGTGGTCCGATTTGCCCATGAGAACCAGGGCTTTCCCCCTGCTTGCAGAAGCCACGATCGGGGTAGCAACAATCTGGGATGAGGAAGACCTGGCCGGGCGCCCTCCCCATTGCCAGCAGGAACGAAAGCTCGCCAGCCCCCCCCAAAAAGCTCGCAGGACGGGTCAACCCACCATTCCTGTTGCTATGTGAGACGGTTGTTAACTTTTAAGTTTTGCCCATTTTACGACCTTTTCCTGCCGGTCCTTAAATGAACCACTTCAGTCGTGAAGTGAGTCGCACGGTTGCTAAACGAATCCGGCTTCCCCTGCGGGCTTTGCTCGTCAGAAGGTTCGCAAGCGGGGGGGGGTGTCACGTGACCCCGGGACGCTGCGACCGTCATAAATAGGAACGTCTGGATTTTGATCCATTTTTCCAAGTGGGGTAAAAGGGTCGTCGGTCGCTTTTTTGGACCTTGGGACGGTCGCTAAACGAATGATGGTTTAAGTCAAGGGCTCGGCGTATCCAGGCACTCTGTCGTGTGGTTTTGCCACCGAGACCGTGCCACTTTTTTTTTATTAAGCAACATTGTGTGTGTGTGTGTTTGTAATCTGTCCATACAGGGGGGGGGCAGACTTTGGACCCCCCACCCACCCCCAAGGATGGCCAGGAGCTGCCTGGCGCCCGTCTCTAGGCGAAGGACTGGCTGTAGAAGACGTCCACGTTGGCCGCGTAATCCAGAGGGAGGGGCTGGCCGATGTGCCTGGCCCCCAGGCTGGCCCCCCCCAGGGCCGAGGACTGCTTCAGCTTCAGCAGGCTGAACCGGGAGAAGGCGCCGTGCAGCTGCCGGCTGTGCGCCTGGCCCAGGACCCGGACGAATCCTGGAAGAGGAGAGAGGAGCCAGTGGGCGCTTCCCTTCGGACACCCCCTGCCCCCCCCAAGTGGGGCTTCTGGCCTTGCCCCATCCTCCGTGTGCAGAAAGGAAGGCCACCCCACCCCCCATTGCATTGCCTACAGCAGTGTTTCTCAACCTTGACCATTTTAAGGCATGTGGACTTCAACTCCCAGAATTCCACAGCCAGCGTTGCTGGCTGTGGAATTCTGGGAGTTGAAGTCCACATGCCTTAAAATGGTCAAGGTTGAGAAACACTGGCCTACAGGCAGTCCTCGACTTAACAGCCACCAAGGAGCCCAACATTGCAAATTGCTAAGCGAGACGGCTGAGTTTCGCCCCGTTTTATGACTTTTCTTGCCACAGTCGTTAAGTGGATCACTGCGGGTGTTCAGCTATTGACCCCACCGCCTTCCCCATTGGTCAGAAGGTGGCCAAAGGGGACCGCCCGATCGTGGGACTTGGCCACCGTTGTAAATAGGAATCGATGGCCGAGCGTCTGAATTTTGATCGTTGAGACTACGGGGACGCTGCAACAGTCGTAAGTGTGACACATGGTCCTAAGGCACTTTTTTCAGTGCCATTGTAACTTGGAACAGTCGCTGTTGTAAGTTGAGGACTGCCTGTGCTTCACGGGCGGCCGAGATCTTTTAAGCCCTCCTTTTCATTTGAATCCTCTGTGGCAGGGGTCTCCAACCTTGGCACCTTTAAGACGGGGGGACTACAACTCCCAGAATCCCCCAGCCAGCTTGCTTTAAGACAGGAAGACTACAACTCCCACAATCCCCAGTCAGCATGCTTTAAAATGGGTGGATTTCAGCTCCCAGAATCCTCCAGCCAGCTTGCTTTAAACCGGGAGGACTACAACTCCCAGAATCCCCCAGCCAGCTTGCTTTAAGAGTGGACTACAACTCCCATAATCCTCCAGCCAGCTTGCTTTAAACCGGGAGGACTACAACTCCCAGAATCCCCTAGCCAGCTTGCTTTAAGACGGGTGGACTACAACTCCCATAATCCCCCAGCCAGCTTGCTTTAAGGTGGGTGGACTACAACTCCCACAATCCCATCAGCTTGCTTTAAGGCGGGAAGACTACAACTCCCACAATCCCCAGCCAGCATGCTGTAAGATGGGGGACTACAACTCCCACAGTCCCCCAGCCAGCTTGCTTTAAGACGGGACTACAACTCCCAGAATCCCCCAGCCAACTTGCTTTAAGACAGGCGGACTTCAGCTCCCAGAATCCCCCAGCCAGCCACTTTAACACTGGTGGACTTCAGCTCCCTGGCTGAGGAATTCTGGGAGTTGAAGTCCAGCCGTCTTAAAGAGACCCCTGCTCTGGGGGCACCTGGCCCGGAAGCAGATTCGGCTTAGCCGCCGAGATCCTCACCTTCCCGCATCATCTCCCAGCTCTTCCACACGGATCCGACGCAGACGATGGGCAGCCCCAGGTGCCCTTGCAGCAAGATCTGGAGGGAAAGAAACGCCCGCCAGGGTCCGTGGGTCCCCCGCTGCCCAGGAGGCAGTCCAGGACACGGAGAGCCCTTGGCTTCGGATCACAATTGGGCCCAAAAATTTCCGTTGCTAAGCGAGGCAGTTAACTGAGATTTGCCCCATTGCTAAGTCAGGGATAGGCAACCTTGGCTCTTTTATGACTGGTGGACTTCAACTCCCAGAATTCCTGAGCCAGCCCTGCTGAGGGGAAAGGGAGAGGTTTCCATACTGAGCCATGCTGGCTCAGGAATTCTGGGAGTTGAAGTCCACGAGTCATAAAGTGGCCTAGGCCTAGGCCAGGGATAGGCAACCTTGGCTCTTTTATGACTGGTGGACTTCAACTCCCAGAATTCCTGAGCCAGCCACGCTGAGGGGAAAGGGAGAGGTTTCCAAGCTGAGCCATGCTGGCTCAGGAATTCTGGGAGTTGAAGTCCACCAGTCATAAAAGAGCCAAGGTTGCCTACCTCTGGCCTAGGCCTAGGCCCCTTCATGACTCGTGGACTTCAACTCCCAGAATTCCTGAGCCAGCATGGCTCAGCTTGGACACCTCTCCCTTTCCCCTCAGCGTGGCTGGCTCAGGAATTCTGGGAGTTGAAGTCCACGAGTCATAAAAGAGCCAAGGTTGCCTACCTGTGCTAAGTTAGTAACCCAGTCATTAAGCGGATCTGGCTCCCCCCCATTGACTTTGCTTGTCAGTGGCTCACAAACGGGGACCACATGACCCCGGGACACGTCAAAACCGTCCTAAGTACATGCCAGTTGCCAAGCGGCTGAATTTTAATCGCGTGACCGCGTGGATGCTGCCAAAGTAACTGAAAAACAGTCCCGGGTCACTTTTTCCAGCGCCGTTGTAACTTTGAACGGTCCCTAAAAGAACTTGTAACTTGAGAACTACCTGTACTATAGCCCCACTACTACATGGTTAATAATATACTTAAGACATTAGACAGAGTTTGATGTTGGGCAGAGCGGTGGCAGAAGGGAAGAAACTGGGTCTGGCTGTTTTGGCCTGCCAGGCCCTCTAGCGCCATCTGGAGGGGAGGAGTTGAAACAGACTATGTCCAGGATGGGAGGGGGTCTGCAAGTGTCTTCTCAGCCCCCCCCCTCCTGACCCACACAAGGTTGCAATTGTTTTTTTCCGCAGTCGTAACTATCCACTGGAGTCTGTAGCTTGCAGTGCAAGACGGAACAAATGTCCTTTTTCCTGCTTCCTAAACCAGGGTTTATCAAACAAGCCAGGGGTCCCCAATCCCCGGACTGCAGCCTGTTTGAAACCGGGCTGTGGGAGAAATGGGCACGCACCTGCCACTCATGTGCCCCACCCCATCCCACGCCGGCTCGGGCCTCCGAGCTGGAAAGATTGGGGACCCCTGAAATAAGCCACCATTGGCTGGATTCATACCAGGTGCCAAACCACATTGTGGCTTAGGGCAAAGGAGGAGGAGGTGCTTCCCTCTAGAAGCCAGCTTGGATCCAGATCGGCAAAAGAAGAGCCCCCTTCTTGGGGGGACCCCTGAACCTCACTCTCCCCCTCCCCCAATGATGTTCTAGAGTTAACCTCAATATGGCTTCTTCATAAGCCAAAATTAATTCTGGGAGGTGGGCCAGAGAAAGGAAGCAACCACCGTCCTCAATCCTGCAACTTTTCTGCCACCGTCCATCCTGGGCTAAGTTACCTGGTCAATTTTGGGCAGCACAGCCACGATATGCCGCGCCAGAACTTCTCCAGCCCTGTCGAAAACGTAGCGGCACAGGGGATCCCCAGCCTGGGCGCCTGCATAAGAGACGGGGAACCAGGTTTACCCTTTCATTTCGCCCCTCCCAGACCAGCCCTCTCCAACCTGGGGCGCCCCGGGTCCCTAAGATCGAATCCCCCAGCCAGCATGCTTTACGTTGAGTGGACTTCAACTCCCAGAATCCCCCAGCCAGCATGCTTTAAGACAGGGGTCTTCAAATTTGGCCCTTTTATGATTTGTGGACTTCAACTCCCAGAATTCCTCAGCCAGGCTCTGGGAGTTGAAGTCCACAAGTCATAAAAGGGCCAAGTTTGAAGACCCCTGATTTCAGATGAGTGGACTTCAACTCCCAGAATCCCCCAGCCAGCATGCTTTAAGATGTGTGGACTTCAACTCCCAGAATCCCCCAGCCAGCATGCTTTAAGACGGGTGGACTTCAACTCCCAGAATCCCCCAGCCAGCATGCTTTTAAGATGTGTGGACTTCAACTCCCAGAATCCCCCAGCCAGCATGCTTTAAGATGTGTGGACTTCAACTCCCAGAATCCCCCAGCCAGCATGCTTTAAGTTGAGTGGACTTCAACTCCCAGAATCCCCCAGCCATTTATAGCTGATCGTGCCTGGTGAGGTCTAAATCAGTGTCTCTCAACCTTGCAACTTTTAAGATGGGTGGACTTCAGCTCCCAGAATCCCCCAGCTGCAACCATCTAATACTGAAAGCCCAAACTCTCCCGTGCTGACTTAGCATAGTCCAAGAATTGGATTGAGCATCTGCCTGAGCAGGAATCCCAGAGTTTTTTTTCCTGGCATCCCAAAATGACCCACCCACCCCTAGCGACGTGCCCACACCTTCGGCCAGCTTCTGGCAGAAGCCTGCAAATTTAGACTTCTCAAAGGTCCTGTAGAGGTGAGTCAGAAGCCCCATCCGGTCGGATACCTGTCGGAAAACAGGTGAAAATGTAAAGAAAGAAGAAAACAAACTTATTGGTGTGAAGACAGGACAATGGGACGAGGTCTGAGTGCTGTTAAAACCAGAGACTTGGATTATTTTAATAAACTATGCTGAAGTTAGTTGAGGGTTTACATCAGGAGTAGTCAACCTTGGCTCTTTTATGACTGGTGGACTTCAACTCCCAGAATTCCTGAGCCAGCCATGCTGAGGGGAAAGGGAGAGGTTTCCAAGCTGAGCCGTGCTGGCTCAGGAATTCTGGGAGTTGAAGTCCTCGAGTCATAAAAGAGCCAAGGTTGCCTACCCCTGGCCTAGGCCGCTTTATGACTGGTGGACTTCAACTCCCAGAATTCCTGAGCCAGCCTGGCTCAGCTTGGAAACCTCTCCCTTTCCCCTCAGCATGGCTGGCTCAGGAATTCTGGGAGTTGAAGTCCACCAGTCATAAAAGAGCCAAGGTTGACTACCCCTGGTTTTCATGAACACATATACTTTCCTTTCCTTTCCTTTCCTTTCCTTTCCTTCCTTCCTTCCTTCCTTTCCTTCTTCCTTCCTTCCTTCCTTCCTTCCTTCCTTCCTTTCCTCCCTCCCTTCTCCAACACTGGAAGTTTTTAAGAAGAGACTGGACAGCCACTTGTCTGAAATGGTCTAGGTCTCCTGCTTGAGCAGGGGGCTGGACTAGAAGACCGCCATGGTCCCTTTCATCTGTTATCTATCCTTCCTTCCTTCCTTCCTTCCTTCCTTCCTTCCTTATGCTACCTTGAACACCGTCAAATAACCACAACTGCCTATCCCAAGTGCCTGGGAAGGACTCGACAGGTGGATAAAAATGCCAAATCTAATCTGAACATCTGGCTGTGTGGCCAAACCTCATAATCCTGAATTGTACACTGAGTTGCAAAGTGGTTTTGTCTCTGGCGTTAGAGATTAGCCTCCAGAAGTGCTCAGAAGCTTCCAAGTCTTTCCTTGGAGCACAGAGACCCTACAGGGGGGTCCCCACCCCAATGCCTGTGTCCCCCGGAGTCGGAAGCAGAGTAAGAGGTAGGTCCAGCGGTTCCTTGAGCATCTCTTAGCCGGAATGCCTCCTCACGAGCCCCACAGCACAGCATCACCTTTGGGACATCTACAGCCTTCCCAATGGGAGACTTCCTGCTCTCCCCCTCCCACAGACGCAAGTCCCCCCTCCCCAAAAGAGGGCGAGGGTGAAGATCTGGTTCGGGGTGGACCAGTTGCTTACCTGGAAGTAGTCAAACATGGCCTGCTTGACGTAGCCGATGTCATGTGGTGGGACCTCCAGGTTGTCCAGGCCATCAAACACCATCTTCACAGCCTGGTGGGCAATCCAGTAAGCTGCCAGACAGCAAAAGGGAGGGTCAGTCTGGGGACTGGACTCCGCTTTGATCCCCCATCCATACATCCATACATAAAACCCAGTGCTCCAAATTCTTCAGCTCTGACTGGAGGGTGGGGAATGGAAGGATTTATATATTTATATTGTGGTGGGAGTTAGTTAGGCATTAGTTGGTAAGGCCACACTTGGAATACGGCATCCAGTTTTGGTCACCACGATGTAAAAAAGATGTTGAGACTCTAGAAAGAGTACAGAGAAGAGCAACAAAGAGGATCAGGGGACTGGAGGCTAAAACATATAAGGAACAGTTGCTGGAATTGGGCATGTCTAGTTTAAGGAAGAGAAGGACGAGGGGGGACAGGATAGCTGTCTTCCAGTATCTCAGGGGCTGCCCCCCAAAAGAGGGAGTCAAGCTCTTCTCCAAAGCCCCTGAAGGCAGGACAAGAAGCTACCGATGGAAACTAATCAAGGAGAGAAGCAACCTAGAACTAAGGAGAAACTTCCTGACAGTTAGAACAATTAACCAGTGGAACGACCTGCCTCCAGAAGCGGTGAATGCTCCAACACTGGAAGTTTTTAAGAAGAGACTGGACAGCCATTTGTCTGAAATGGTATATAGGGTTTCCTGCCTGAACAGGGGATTGGACTAGATGACCGCCAAGGTCCCTTCCAACTTTATTATTATTATTATTATAACAATAGTGTTCTAGTGTGTGAATTCAGAGCTTGAAATAAGAGATGATAAGAATTGGCGGGTGAGACAACAGGAGGGAAAGCCTGCGTTTCAAGCGAATCGGAGAATGTGATTTGTGACTGTTAATTGGAGGAGGGAATTGTGCTTTGAGACTAAGGAAGGAATTCAGATTTTGGCTTCCACCATGTACCTGCCGACGCCGTGCAACTCAAATAAAGATTCTTTAAGGTAAACAATGCCTCGAAGTTCTTTGAAGAGTTTCACCTGTCGGAACCATGACCTATAGATTGATATTTATCAATCCTTCCCTTCCCCACCGTCCAGTCAGAGCTGGAGAAGCTCCTGGGATGAGAAGTGAAAGGTCTTCAAAGAAAAACAAGGAAGTCCAGGTGCCTCCAGAAAATGGGACATCAAGAGAGAGGTGGCCAGGATTACAGGATCCAGCCTCCCGGAGAAAGCTGGATATTGGAGAAGTTCTCAAGAAGTTCTCTGTAGGCCCAAAGAGGACTTGTCCACTGTGAAATTCTGGCCATGTCAGAGAACAAGGATAGGGCTTGCAATCTCCTGCAGCCGCCTGCAAGCTTATCCATTAGGAAGATCCTGCTTTCTCTCACCTGATCCTTCATCCCCCATCATGTGGCCCCATCCTCCACAGCTGATCTGAGAGCCATCAGGGTTGATCAGCTTGCAGTTGGAGCCGGTTCCCGAGATAAGCACCACTCCACCTGGAAAGAAATGACTGTCAAGAACAGGGGTAGGCAACCTTGGCTCTTTTATGACTGGTGGACTTCAACTCCCAGAATTCCTGAGCCAGCCATGCTGAGGGGAAAGGGAGAGGTTTCCAAGCTGAGCCAGGCCGGCTCAGGAATTCTGGGAGTTGAAGTCCACAAGTCATAAAGCGGCCTAGGGCTAGGCCAGAAGTAGGCAAGCTTGGCTCTTTTATGACTGGTGGACTTCAACTCCCAGAATTCCTGAGCCAGCCATGCTGAGGGGAAAGGAAGAGGTTTCCAAGCTGAGCCAGGCTGGCTCAGGAATTCTGGGAGTTGAAGTCCACGAGTCATAAAAGAGCCAAGGTTGCCTACCCCTGGTCAAGGGGGTCAGGACCGCCATCTTGCTACTCTACGCATTGCTTGCTGGCAGTCCGCCCTGCTTCCACGGGAGGGAGAGCTGTGGGGTGGGATTAAGGAGGGGGTCTGCGTGTGGGAGGAGTCAAAACGACGCATCGTCCCGTCCCGGGAGAGCCGCTGCCCGTTCCAGAGTCACCCACTACGGGATGCAGAACCAATCAGCTGGCGAAGACGGGGACCGTTACCCCCAAAATATCAGCTGCCCCTAGACTTATCTACCGCTTTACGTTCCTTTCCAGCCCTCTCTAAGCGGTTCTCAGAGTCGGGATCTCACCCCCAACCATCTGGGTCCTCATTTTACCGACCTGGGAA